AATTCCTTTGGTAAGAACGTTGAGTTGCCGCATGTTTACAACTAACTCGAACGTGAAACGCCCTTGTACAGGCCTGGCCTAGCGTACCAAAGTATATCCCCATCTCCCTTTCTCAATCTCCCTTGTTCCTGTCCTGAAAGCCGACAAGTCCAAAGAGCAATTTTGTGCGGCTGCTTCAATGGTCGTGAGATGCTTTTCTTTGAGATCGACTCGCAACCGTGCAAAAAATTAAAGAAAAGAAAAGAAAGAATACAAAAGGCCTAGTCATTCCACGATAAAACGTGGATAGTACGTCTAGCATGCGTGTGAAACGTGCCCCAGTGAGAAAAGGCGGAAACGTAAAAAGGACGAACTGACGCGGAGTCCCACCATTCTTTGAGTAAGCTCCCATAACCTCTCTTTCTCTCAAACTTCGTCCTTTCTGTCTCCGTCTCTATCTACTCCCCTCTCTCTTTTTCGATAGTTTTTTGATGTGTGACTTTTGAAGCGTTGGATATCGACGTACAGTTCTTTTTTTTATTGTTCTTATTAGACGCGTATTTTCTGAAAAATATTCTCAAATAGACATTTTCTTAAGTACGATTCTTTGAATCGCCGGCTGTAGCTAGTGTGTCTATCCTTTCCAGACTTCCCACGACTTTGTGTCCGTACAACGGAAGCCTAACGCCAAGAGGGCGATCACGTTCGACGCTTTCGACAGTCCCTGTTGTATCCTCAGCTCTCTGCCGCTCAGGCCAGTCAAACGTGCTAAGGTGAGTCTTCTTTTTTCTTCACTCTCAAATCACTTATCCTCTGGTGGGGTTGCCCGTATCAGAGATTCGATATTCTCGTGTCGAGTTTCTGTACGCGTTGCCATGGTGCTTACTTTTCGGTTACTCGAAAGACATATGTTGCAATAGATCATGTTTCATGACAGTTTATAATCATCGAACATAAAATGGAACTAGATGCAAGATAAATTATTAAATGCATCCTACGATTATCAAAGACGGTTAATTGTTTCAATTTGACATATCTAAAATTTAGTTTGTAATTTCTAACGCAGTAAGAATCACCTTCAAGTAATTCAATAATGGCGCCATTAATTTGGCGGGAAACGTGCACAAGTGTCCCAGATGTCGCTTATGTAGCTGTCCTATGTGTATGTGATTAGTTCACATTTTCCATATGGGTATTTGAAATTCTATAGTTTTATCTGCATGTTGGATTTTGTTACAGCTGCACTTAGAGGCACAATGGACAACGGTAGCATGCGGACGCACACGCGATCAACTCGAGATGACGCGAGCTGCCCGACGATTTCTCAGCAGCCATGGATATCTGCCATTGCGTCCTCGTTCTCTAAACTTTTGAAATAGCCTTTCTGGGGGCTCGGTCGCACTTCGTGGTACAAAAAACGCGACGTTGAACTAGTCGTAATTAAAAGTATGCGGCGCTTCCGTTTAAGGAATATGGCCTTTTTTCTATAAGATCTATCGGACAAGATAAGAAAAGTAATAAAACAGAAACGAGAAAGGAAAAAAAGATAAATAACTATTAGGAAATTTTACGGGCTGATTATGAATGCATCTGTGCATTGGATTACTTTTTTGCGAGTGTAAACAATCCGTGGATATAAATATCAAAGTGTTCCGATGCATAGCGTGTGTACAGACAATCGAATTTTGTTTTTTAAAGAAACCACACGGTGCAACCGAAATTGCATCTGAAAAGGAGGGGAAATGTCACGCGCTTTATCAGCACTTCCGTTTGTAGTTTGATCCGAACGGTATACGTATGACGCGAATGAACCGCAGAAACGAAAGAAAAAAGCAAAAGACACTTCTACTACCTTTTTTTGTGGATGATAAGAAGTTGCTACTACAGTGGCGTGTAGTTAATGTAGAGAATAAAAAGTAAAAGATGAGTCTCTCACAGATTTTCAATTTCGTAAGCCTTGCGTACTTCCTGGTAGAATGCGTACAAATTATACACGTTCATTCGGAACTTTTTTTTTTTATAAGGGACACCAGGAAACAGTAACGTTTACGTGAATGAAAATGTCACGCGTCAATTATGCTACATGCACATACGTTTTATTTTGTACTTCAAGCGCCGAAACATTTTCTGCCGCACGAGGTAGCGACCTCTTATCACGTTCGTACGAAAAGATAAAATGAATGAAATAATAGCCGATTTATTTGATACAATAGTATATATCATATAATATAAAACAAAAGCATTATTGCGGCCGTTATGTACAAAGAGCCTTTGTAACTGGTATTTAATTTACAACTGAATAATAAAGACGTGATGATAATCACACCAAAAAAGAAACACGGCTGTAATGCTCTTCTTTATAAACCCGCGTGTCCACAAGTTTGAATATAGGTTATGTCGAGACTTCTGTTTAACGCGTTTATTTTTCACCGTTGTTCTGCACGTTAGCCGAAATATGTAACAAAAAAACATGCTAATTACGTTGTTAACGTGGTAACGACGATAATTCAATTTTCGGAGTGTATCTGCGTGCGACTTTCACGAAACTTGGAATGCCATGGAATGGACAAAATGTAAGTGCATAGTGTGATCATCAGCCGGTACGCATATTGCTCGACAAACAATTGGAAAAGAAAGCTCAAAAAACGGTACAAATATCTCACGGTCATACGTGGTGAGGTATATCAAATGTGCCTGACCAACTCAATATTGTTTCGTTTGAGCTTCAAACATAATACCTTACGCTAAATATGCCCTCGCGAACATTGTCGCCCGAAGACGCACGTTTTATCTCGTATCGGGAGTTGAATTACAGAGTATCTAAAAGTAAACGGTACACAAAATCGTTCAGCGGTACAAACTGGACATGATATGATAATAATGTTCATAAGCGATATGGTGAATGTCCAAACATAATTCTAAGGCTCCTTCCATACACGCGTTCATATATTCTAATGTGATATGAAATTTGGAATTCTCTATAGAACATTCGAGACAAATTAGGTTAGATTACATGATAATATTACATATAAAACTATCGGTTAGGCTGCATTTTTTATGGTCTGACTCTTCATTGCCAATTGCGCTACATCTTTTATAGTCAGACCTTTTTCTTGGTATATTTTAACATTAAAAATTGGTAGTCTATAACTACTCTTTTAACCATATAATCAGTTGATTAATTTGCAGAAGAAATACAGCCTCCAGTTTGTTAAACAACACTGGATAATATTTTTTTTAATACAGCAAACGGAATGAATTAAAATCAACATCACGATTCACTTTATGCAATCAGACTAGCTATTCGCGTAAAACGAGTTAAAACAGGTTAGCCTTGTTTAAAATTTATGATGAATATTTGCGCGTTTTCTTGGAGGAGAAGGAATCAAAAGTTCTAGCCTTTTACTATGGTAAATGTATAGTATATAATTCCACTAATATATACGAATTATTCTAAATATTTGTCAATTATTGCTAAAGGTACAAATCTGCAACATATTCTGTTAAACTGAACTAAATCGAATGATGATTCCTTCTTTACCAACCAAACCGCGCGAATCGAAAAACGCGTGCACTAAAGAGGCCTGAAACATACGTACAAAATTACGAAGTATACAATTACGAATATGTTTTTTTTAATTCACAATAACACGGTGGTGGTAATGCCCGATCAAATTCGATAGATGAATGTCGAAGCCTGAAATCTCACAGATCGTTTCAGAGGCTTAACAATACGAACTCGCTTCGTAATGTTGTCAAAAAGAATCATCGTGTCAGGTATCAGCTTACGTCACCCAACTATCTGAGATTCTCCCGCGCATTTCTCTCAATCTTTTTTCAATGCAAAACGTTCGTATCGAGAAGTGACTCGAGTGATCCTTGACTAGATGGCGATCTTTTCGAAAATTGCGCGTACGAATAATTCGTTAACGAATAGAATGTTTCTTATTTAGTAATAATCTCATCATTTTTTCTATCACTACATATAGCTGCGTAATATAACATCAAGGGACTATGTGTAATAGATATTATATGAGGAACTCTTAGCTGACGATTACAAGAATAGCTAAAAGGGGGGTGGGGAGGGTTATTACTTTTTTTTTGTTTTTGACTAGCACTACCGGTATATGTTGATCGATTAGCATTTACGAAAAGATTGCATCGAAAGAAAGTCACGCATCACGAAATGTTAAGGATCTGTTTTGAAAACAGCGCGAGAAGAATATTAGGAAAATGGGTGACACCGAAAAAAAGAAATGAAAAACTTGCCGAGAACGTGTCGTACTGCTTCACTTCACGAATCACTATCAATTATGCAAAATGTATATTCATGATCAAGAAAAAAAAAAGAATCTATCCTTTCATTCATAACGATTCAAATTACATATATCACTTTCTATATATATATTAATCTTCGAAACTAATGTTCGTCTACGCTGGCGTAAAAGCGCGACTATTCGATAATGTTTCGGTGTTCCATAATTATCGGTATAAAGCACTGATCAAAGTCAGTCGCTACATTCAGCCTCCTAATAAAATAACGTCTATAAAAAGTCTGAAAACAATCAACAAAGAAGTATAAATTCACTAAAAACAAGTAAAGAGGTATAATGCCAAAGAGGCCATTTCCTAATGTCTTTTTTAGAAACGCTTAAAAGCGACACTTTCTCGGGAATGATTACGCATCATTTTCCCTTTTTAATACTCAAAATTCTAGCGTGGCGGATCTACTTTTCGTCGCTCGCATCGCTGACACCGGATGTTTAGTCCAATGTGGCTGGTACTGCTAAAAATTTTAAACACGATAAAAAATAATTTCTAAAAAATGAAAGTGTAAAAAACATGTATAAAACTTAGTAAGTACCACTTACCCGGTGACGGAGATCCTTTGACTCTGCAAGTGTTATAACTTCCACAATTCAAACATTTCAAACCTACAACATGGAATTTTACTGTTGACTCCTGAAAGATTAAAAAATTTGTCCATTGACAATTATCAGTGTTTCATGATTGAGGATGTAGTTGTAAAACAAAATATTGTCCTCACCTCATGACAGTCTTTGCACAGAATATCAACCTTATAATCCCTGTACTCTTCTGGCATTGGTGTTGATGATACTTCCATATCCAAAAATCTCCATAAGTCAGTCATATCTAAAAGGGATACTTGGCATGTGGGACATGCATAATGTCCTGAGTGTAACAACTCTTCAAAACACGTGCGATGGAGTAAATGACCACAGTTTGGAATGTGACAAGGAATACGACTTGTGTGAATATCTTCCAGGCAGACTGGGCAATTGTCATGAGAAACATTTTCTACACACTGAAAATTTCATACAAATATTCCTTTATTTCATATTAATGACTGCAACTTGATTAAGGTTTCAAACCAAAGAATGAATATAAAATTGAAACAACACTCTTAACAAAGTAATTTTTTCAGACTACCTTCCTAATAAATATAGAACTTTATACATGTAAATTTCTGTCAACTATTCAAATTACTTCCCCCCACTTTGAAGTTATTTATACCACCTCTGACCCTCCTCAAAGCGAAAGCTCTTCCAATCCATCATTTCATCAAACCTTAATCAAGCGTATTGAATTTTATTATATACACTGAATACATGAACACCTTTTTTTACCTACGCACATTACACACGCAACACGACATATATTCACTGACATTTAACGAAATTTTTATAACGCATTACATACCGTGTGCCCATTCTGTAACTGAACCGGCAAACACATGTTGCACTTGGCACAGTGGAAAAATCGGTCGCGACCACCGACCCTGCATATCCTACAGCCGTCGCAGTGATACTGATTCTTGTCTTCGTCGTCGAACAGATTGCATTCGAGACATGTATATTTGCCGAACCGACAGTGACAGTTTTGGCAAGTGGCTTGTACAGGCTGACGGGTATCGCACAGGACACATATCAGCTCTGTGACTTCCTTTCTGTTTACGGTATGAGTTTCCTCCTGGTCGTGGCAAAATCGACACGTGTATACCTTGTTGCAACATGGTGTCTGAAGAAGCCATGGAAAAAAAGATAAAAATTGTATTTATTCGTATTACTTTACAAATCGTTATATTTAAATGATTAAATGTACATTTTTTTAAATTTACACTTTTGTTTATACACTACGAAAATGTGCCTTAGACAATCCTTGTACACTTCAGAAAACGAAGGCCTTAGATAATAATCCAATTAGCCCCCATATGAATCCGTCCTTGATCCTTAACCCTTTCGATGCAGCAAACGCTTATAAACGTTCGGCAAATTCGTTCAACAGCCAGTCGAGGATACGGTAACGTGTTACGATTGAACATATTTTCATACGTTTAGCAACATCGAAAAGGTTAATGGCAGAAATCGGTTAAAAATTCGAAGGGATTCGAGATATCGATCGTACAAATCTTTCCGTTATTAAGAACTACAATAATGATTCATTCGAAACTTTTCCACGCGACAAAAGCATTCGATAATTAACTGTTAAAACCGTCGATGGATTTTTTACTTTTATCTTCCTGACGATTATACCAGATAAGCTACATATGTAATCGATGGAGATCATGATCATTGAGTTTCTATTAGATGGCGTAACATAGTGGCCGCTCGAACCCTCCATGTGCTATCGAGAGACACGTGCTACCAACGTTTCAATATGTCAGCATAAGTTAGATGTTTAGTCTTATTTTACGAAAAAGTGTATGTAAGATAATTTTTATCAGTAAAGAATACAAAGTACTCAATAGATACTTTACCAGGAAAAGAAAAAAATTACTAAAGACACGTGTATTAAACACAGTTCAAGATTCACATATTCTAAATATTTTCAATCTGACATATTTAAATAAACTATGGCTTTTAAAGATATTGTGTAAAAAAATTAAGTGAAACTGCTGGTTCAAATACCGTGCACTTCTCCACTAAATGCACGGTACGCAGCGTTCCCTCGATCATAAGCCTATCTAGATTATTCACGGTGCTGCTCTCTTGGACAATATTTGACGAACAAAAATTTCAACGCCTTATCTTTATGCGTTCCTGTAAACACGGTAAAACCAAGCAAGCAGGAAATCATGTCAGGCGGTCGATGCATGTTTCACTAATGCATAAAAATTGTTCGAATATTCTAATGATCGATAAAACAAAATGAAAAAAAAAATAGAAAAAAATGTACCGTAATTATTCTTTTATCAGACAATGCAGAAACACTGGTAGCTGGTAGCAGCACACGACATTTAACTTATCGCGGCAATTGGTAAGCAACACTTTGAAAGAGGGCGTCTCGTTACACAACACACGGCTGAACTTCATCGATTTGTTTGCTGCGTACACACACGTACAGGCAGAACGCGCGTTCGTGTTTACATGCGGCGAATAGAAAAAGCTCGTGTACGAGCGATTTCGGTGTCAGTTGTTAATTATAAAACCGCCGCGCGTGTCGTTTATTTTAGCAACACATTTTTACTATTTATTATTTGACAAGTTCAAGGGTATAGAACAAAGGTATCAAACTCTATCCTATCGCTTTTGAAATTTTTCCAGTGCCATACGTGAGATTCGAATGAACCGCGTTATGGATGCTTTTCGAATTACTGTTTATCATTTTAGGAGGCGCTCGTGACGCTTCTGCGGAAATGTAAATTCAGTTTATTGGTTCGAACGAAGATTCGTTGAAATAACCGGCTATAAATCGATAATTGTCAACCCTTCGTTTACGATGTTCGTTTCTTAAAACAATCGTGGATAGTTTAAAGTTATCGTTCGACTAATTTAACATGTGATTACACTCGTGATAACATAACGCAAACGAATGAATTAAACCTTGATTGGTACCGTATATTATGCGCGACGATATAATACGAAAGTCAAATTTATTCCTTCAGAAAAATATAAATAATTCTGAAATACATATTCGTCCGAGTGCTGTTACGTGAATTATTATAATTAACTGTCAACCGGTGACGTGCATTACTGTCTACTAACGAGCTAATTAATCATTTACATAAAAGAACATCCATTACAGCTGGTTACATTGTCACTAGAGTCATCAAGAATATAATTACAAATTTCGATAAATGTGTATAAACGTGTAAAATGATACCGAGAGAAGGAAGTGGAGGGTTAACAAGATCAAAGTCACCGTCCTCTGTGACAAGTTCGAAAAATGGTTGACACAGGAAGCATCTGCAGAAAGATTATGAACAGGACAGGATAGACCGTATTGTCTCGCGGCTAGAACGCGCAATCTATGTGATCACTGAACATCTGCGTGATCGGAGCCGAAAACAAAGCAAGGGTCTCGCGTATGCGTAACGTATACTACGCATACCCACGAGAGATGGAAGGGAAAACGCGACAGAAAACTCACCACGAACTTGGACCTTCGCTTATAATGTTCGCAGCCGTAATTATCCTCAGTGTTGGTGGGCCATAGAGGTTCCTCCTTCGATGTCGACGCACGTTCGGCCACGGTGCGCGCTTCGTCGTTATTCTCCATATCTCGGGATAGTCCTAAATTACTGGCTTTTCTCCTCCGCCGCCTCCTGCTTCCCATCGACTCACACGTCCTTTCCAGATTTTCTCGCGGCGTGTCCGATTAACACCAGCTCGAGCACAGTTTGTTTGTTTAATTAACACGCTCGCGGCGATTCAAAAACGGCGGAAAAAGAAGAGCACCGACGTCGAACGTTCGGATCACGCGCCGAATAACAACGGGCCGGGGCTGTGTTCCTCTTCCGTAGTGAAGAAAACGGGGGGAATCTCCGTCAACCCGAACCGACGGGAAATGTCTCAAGCCTCGTGTGTCCGGTCGCAAGAAGAAAATTAAACCAAGCCATCGTTGATTGGCTCCGCGTTCCACACACCGTTCTCTCTACGTCGTGAACGTTTCGAGAAAAGAGGAATCTTACGATCTGTGCCAGGGATTTCGGGATTTTTCGTTGTGCACGTCCGATCAACGAAGACGACAGCGTACGTTTGCCTCGTTACGAAACGATACGCAATCGGACAACCAGCACTTCTCGGTAATTTTTGGAGAAAAGCGGCCCGACACTTGCCACTTTCTGACACTACTCCACTTCGTTGTACTATCACCACGATGTAATGATTACAACGGCAGACGACGTTCAGAAAAAAAGATGCAAAAGTATAGCCGGAAGTTGTGACGACGCGATGAGGTACTACGTCGCTTCAGTGCGCTCACTTCCGGCCCGCGAAGATTCAAACGCGATTCAGCTGAGGATGCGGTTTTGGTTAGCTTGAATTATTACAATAACACGATAAATTGTCTCATGTATTCCTTTATTATGTTGGTTGAAATATCGTTAAAAAAAGGTGAAAGCTGAGTTGTATACTTGTGTGGTGAAAGTAAAAGTCTCCAGCAACAGAATGCTGCTAATTAGGCATAGAGATACAATCAAATGCAATTTATATTTTACGTATTTTTTATTCTATCGCTAATTACTTACCGTCCACTGGTAAAATTCTGCCTCTACTTTTTGATATTAAATCGCGTCACAACCAATATACACTTGTTTATTCTTCATGTGGATATATTTAGCTGCACGAATAAACCAATCACGTTGTGAACATTAATCGGCAGAAAGTGTAGCACGTGATAAATTGCTGTTTTGTGAAGAATATACCATTCGCTAGCAACTGTCGGCCATCAGTTCATAATTGATTTTACGTATAAATTCAAACGAACGTACTTTTGTGCAATTCAATTGGAAAAAAAAGACGAGATATAGAAACTTTGTGCTACTAAAGTGGTCATCTGTTTGTGTGGTATCACTGTTAAAACGTACATAATAAAATGGTGAAAGATGGGTGTTAATACTTGAATGGAAAGGAGTTCATAAAATTGGATCGTGTTGATCATCGGCGGAATATCAATACTGGTGCGTTTTTCCGGGTGGCATTGAACTATTTACATTAAGTGTGCAACACGTTCACCAATGTTGAAATGAGGCAGAAGCGCGGCATGTATGACGACTCGCGAAAACTATACGATAAACACATGCAGTTCGCCCCGCACGGGCTCTGCATTTTGTCGGATTAATGATCAATGGCTTTATTTGAGAAACGATATACGAATAAAGTGCTGCTAGATGATACAGAAAAGTTGACAAGCGTCATTGAAAATGCAAGAACAATCGACGGACACACGGTACGGCGCACGCTTAATGCGTATATTTTGACATTTGCTCGATAAAAGGTGAAGTTTACGCACGTCGGTATCTTACTCCAATCTCGTGTCACCCGAAATCAGTGACGAACTTCGTTATTCGTTACGTAGACGTTCTCGATCCTTCTCTTGCTTTGAGAATTGAGCATTTTTAAATTACTGTTTTTCTGCAGATCAAATTGTTCCGTTTGTACGGACATTTTGTATTTACAATGCTTTAAAGAAATATAACTTCGTACACGCGAAAAGTATCGAAAAATGTAGGATTACTAGGATATTGTATTGTGTAAATACTAAAATTTATTTATACAAATGTTACATTATAACAATTGTTTTGTCAATGTAATGAACAATGTGTTAATGTTGTTATGTATTATCCAATTTAGGAATATGTGATTAGAACACAAAGAGGTCCACTTCCAGAAAAATCTTGGAGAGTTAGCAGACGCTATAATGACTTCATTCAGCTCAATGCAGCTTTATCAATATCAGGCATTGATCTGGCACTTCCTCCAAAGAAAATTATTCGTAATATGGAACCAGACTTCATAGCTCAGCGTCAAATAGCCCTACAGGTTAATTATATCATAAGAAAAGTTATTATTTTTAAGCATTAGTTTGTTATAACTACATTTTGTTATTATTCTTTCAGAATTATCTAAACAATATACTAATGAATCCTATATTGGCATCGTCACTTCCTATGAAAAAATTCTTAGACCCAGATAATTACACAGCACCATTACATGGTATGATCTAATTATAATAATGAATGTAATAATAATATAATTAAAAGTAAGTTGTATATATGTCTAAATATATAACAAATACAGAGAGCATTCTGTTTAATTGCTGTGTCCCTCACGGAACATTGTAATTGAAATGTCGCAAATTATAAATTTTGCGTGGTTTTTCATGAATAATTTTCATTTTCAGAAATAGCATTGCAACAGGTGTCACTAGCTTTACGCAGCGATGCGAATTTCGAAGTTTGTAAAGCTATTCCCGATATGGGATGGCGGTTAAGAAAGCATTATTACACCGTTAAAAATCGGCAAAATCCCAAGCAAGAATTACTGCTTGCATGGGTAGAATTTGGTCCAGACAAACATTTGCAGGACAAAGATATGCAAGGTGTTTTTAAAAGTTTAGGAACATTAAAACACAATTACATAGAACCGCCCGTTTTTCAACATGTGACGGAAAACGGAGCTTTAATGATAAGAAATTTTTATCCATCGGGTACATTGCGTGATACCTTATGTGTAACTAAACCTAAACAACCGTTTATAAAGAAATATGGAAACCCAAAACAAACCAAATCGTTAACAGTGCCTGAAATTGCTATGTATGGTTACCAAGTAAGAAGATTAACATTTTGCACTAAGATGATTGATTTACATAGTTTGCAACTATACAATTCTTGTTTCAGATTTTAGAGGCTTTAGGATTTCTTCACGAGAAAGGCCTACCATATGGACATTTACATACGGGAAACATTCTTTTGATTCAGAGGTGTGCAAAATTGTTAGATATTGAAAATGGTCTTCTAGGTTTACCAGCATTTTATCGGCCTTACGTTGTACAAAGACGAAAACTTCACGCTACGGTATAAATAAAATTATTTTACACTTAAATAAACGTCATATAGGTTTGCTAATTAAATAAATAAATGTGCAACAATTTTTATAGACTCAAGTGGACATTTATTCTTTTGGACATGTGTTATATGAAATGGCATTTGGGAGGCCGCTGTTGGAAGCAACATGTTCGGATTTACCATATTGCGAAGCAAGTCTAAAAAGTTTACTCGAGGTGATATTATCACCTGAGGCTTTAAAACAAGATCTACCAACAATATCACATTTATTGGAACATCCATTCTTTGAGTCAGCAAGGCATGCTGCATTGGCTGTTGGTTCCATGGAAAGACCACACTTCAAATTAAGCAGTCATTTAAAGGAAGCCTTGCATGAAGCAGTGAACAAAGCAGAACAAAGATTAAAAGACGAACAAAAAGTAGCCAGACATCAGAAGAGGCTTGTCAAAGTTCAAGAAATGATGAGTTCAGAGGAAGAGATGAAGAAACGAAAACAAAAACTGGTAAATATCTCAGTATCATGTTAAAATGTTATAACTCGTTCAATTGAAAACAAATCGGAGTTCTCTCTTTTTCTAGAAAAAGGAACAAAAATTAGCACAAGAACAACGTTCCGCGAATCAATTAAGCGCAAATGGAATGAAGCACGCAAATGGCAAGAGCCCTGAACGTTCAGACAGTCCTACAAGTACATCTACGGCGACCAGTGTTGGAACCTTGACACCACCATCGCTCCGTAAGTGTCAGACCACTTTCCAAATAAACTTTAATAATAATTAACAATAATCGTTCTTCCCAATTTTTACATTAGCTGGGCACAAAAGTTGATGGCGCATACTACGCTTATTTCTCTCACGTAGGTCATACGATCACTCGAACGCTAATTGTTCTCATTCGTGCATCTTGTCATTTAATAATCACTTGGATACATCTTAAATAAAAAATATTCTTTTCACGAATAAAACATGAATTCATAGGTGCTTGGTGTTGCATCCTCTTTTTGGGTCTATGTATTTTATATTGTAATTGGTTTTGGTAAATCGTAATAGATATAGGGTATGCTCGTCTAATTTAATCTAATAATAGCAGTACGAGGAATCGATAAAAGATTAAATGTTAGCATGTTAGTATGTGTCCAAGTGATATTCTAGAAGTCGTTAAAAGTTACAGTATATTTAACTTAAGGTTCTGTTGATGTGCCGCAAGGTGATGGAGTTCCTGCTAAGAGTGTTGTACCACCACCTCCGCCACAAATGCCACCACCTGTTGATGTCTCAAACAGTGTCCCGAAATTGACCAACGAACAATCTGCTCTGCTTGGGAGTATTTGTAACTTCAATAAAACTAGTCTTCGTAAAGTTGCTAATGGTAAATACCATTGAGACGATAGGGTTAGATTGATTTGAGAGAGAAAAGTGTTGAACGATCCCGTTGATTTAGAAAAAGAAACGTGTGACTGCGATCTATACCAAAAGGCTAACTATTTTTTTCATAGAATAAATGTGATGGTGTTTATAAATTTCTTTTTTCGATCACGACACTTGAGAGATCTATATCTATATATAAATATGTATGTATATTTAAAATTCGTAGGATCCTAAT